ATGGTAGTTCTACTTTTAATTTCCTGAGGACTTTCCACACTATTTCCCACGATGGCTGGACCATTTTACATTCCTATCAATGTTTCTTCCCTTATTGATAACAGTCATCCTAATAGATGTGAGGTGATATCCTTCTGTGGTTTTGATTTGCATCTCCCTGATAATTAGTGATGGTGAGTACTCTTTCATGTACCTGCCAGCCGTTTGAATATCTTCTTTGGAAAAAAAAATATCTATTTAGTTCCTTTGTCCATTTTTTAATTATTTGGGGTTTTTTTTACTACTGAGTTGTATGAGTTTCTTATATATTTTGGATACTAACCCCTTATCAGATGTGTGGTTTGCAAATATTTCCTCCCACCATTCATACTTACTGCCTTGTAACATATTTAATGACAATCTTCAAGTAAAGAAAAGTGGCAGAAGTCTGTCCTAATTATCAGACTTCCTGTGGTGCAGAATAGCAGCGTCCTAAGCCGTGCGTCCTGGGGTTTTATGGTCCTGATGCAAACTGCTCTGTGGTCAAGTGAAGCCCACCTCACGGAATGAACTTTTTTTCCAGCGCTTTGAAAAGAGCGGATGCCATCTCATCCATTGGCACCTCAGGACTGACGGACATGAAAAAGTTGGCCAAGTGGGCAGCAGAGTCCAAGCTGGATCCGAATGACCCCAACAACGCCCCTCTGATGCAGCTGATCTCGGTAAAGTGGCAGGAGAGCCGTGCACCACGCTGTGTCTGGATTTGGCGTGAGAGGAATAGAAAGGGCTTGGCCCTTCTCACACACTGGCTCTCATACCGTGTTCTCTGCGGTGGTGCTTAAGAGCGTAAGTGCTGAGAGAATGGCAAGTTTAAATTCCAGCTCTGGCCTTGCTGGTGTAGCTCAGTGGTTGAGCGTCAACCTGTGAAGGAGGAGGTCACAGTTCGATTCCAGGTCAGGGCACATGCCCAGTTTGCGGTCTCAGTCCCCAGGAAGGAGTGTGCAGGAAGCAGTCAATCCATGATTCTCTCTCATCATTGATGTTTCTCTCTCTCTCCCTCTCCTTTCCTCTCTGAAATCAATAAAATTTATTAAAAAGTAAATAAATTCCAGCTCTGCACCCACTTGGCTATGCGATCCAGGCCGCACTCATGTGTCTGAGCCCTGAGATGCCCTCACGGTGCTATGCTGTCGGGATCAATCAGCTGTCGGGTATCAATACTTTGCTAGGCACACAATGGGTGTGCAGTAAATATTAGCTGCTATTGATACTCTGACCTCAAACCTCTGTAAAACCCCTAAAGAAAGTTTTGATTTCCCCCTTAGTTCCTTGCTCAAGGTCACACAGCTAGTGAGGAATCAGATCCAAGTTCATCTGGTTTCAGAGCTCGTGCCCTTCCCATCCCACCTTGGTGGACTGATGGGCCATTTTAAGAAGCAGTGGTTTTGTTTGTATTCTTGCCTTAAGATTAATTTGATTATTATTTAGGTTTCATTTTAAGTATTTATGGGATAAACTGCTTGTATCTATCATAACATTCAGAATTCTTCTTCAGTGAATTTATAAATAAAATGGGTCATTAGTCAGTAAATGATTTTTCTTGGTATCAGATATAAATGTTTTTACTTGCAAGATCATAATTCTCACAAAAACATCATAAGTGAGTAGATGATCCAGAAAGTGACGATAGCAACACATCCTATGATCATGTTTATGAGTATAAGTGGATCAGTAGGGTAACTATAACTAAGATGAAAATTTTCATTTCTCTCCTGATATTTCTAAGTCCCAAAGCAAGCTTGTGACTTTTGTCTTTATAAACTCTCCTTGCAACATGATACTTTTAGTGTGGATATGAGAAGTGTTAGAGAGAACGGATCATATTACCTAAAAGGTCGTCTATTCCATGTAAACTTTTCAAATCACGGTTTGATTACAATCTTTAAATCAGAAGTAACATAGGACACCTGTCACCTTCATTTTCCCTTTATAACTATTTGCCTTCAGAAGCACAAACACAGGGATGCCTTCCTGACTGGTCTCTTCAAGAACCAATATTTGCACGGCAGGGTCACCTCCCCATCACAAAGCCCAGCACACGCTGCGCCTGGCTCTCCTTCTGCCCCAGAGGAGGTCACAGCTGGCAAAGGCCCCCAGCAGAGGGGCTCAGACACCTGGGCAGCATCAGCCCACACCTGCTCATCCTGCAGAGGAACTGAAGCCAGCTTTCTGTGCCACTTACAGACACATGGGAGGTCAGCGCCCAGATCCCTCCCTGATTCACTCCCCTCGATGATCAAGGTTCAGGGACGGGAGGTCCTGTCCCTGGAGCTAAGCGAAGGTGATCAACTGACTCTGTGCTTGTATCTACATATGGGCATAAGACTCGTAAAAAGTTGAAAAATAAATTTAAAACATGAAGAGGCTAAAGGGGGTCAAATAAAGGGTGCAAGAGGAAGACTAGACTTTGGAAGGTGATCTCCCAGTG